ATATAATAATATAATAACACTACACACACACACAAATATATATATATATATATATAACACTATATATATATATATATATATATATATGTATGTATGTATATATATATATATATATATATATATATAACTGCTGGTTTTGTGCATATGTGATGTGTTTGTAGTCAGAAGTTTTTCAGCAATGCATGGTCATCGTTCTTGTACACTACTTTTTCCGCCATCCGCCCTCGTTAGATTCCATGTCACGTACTCCCGCACACTCTCAGCGCTTATACGTAAAGTATACAGACTACGCTGTGATGCGTACATGTTATGTAGCCGTTACGCTATCTCTATGTATGTATTTCGTTATCACTAACCACTGTCACAGGGCCATGTCTGTGATCCGTTCAAACAGACTAGTGATGCAGTACTAAAGAATACGCATATTCCAATTGGCGTTGTTTTTCTGGCAGGTGTTATCAGACTGACGGACGGAACCAGTGTTCCTCTTTCGGATCTGCCCGTCATCGTAAACTCCACTGCTATAGAACTCGAGGTGAGTGTTGTTGTTGTGCACGAGGGTACTCAATCGAGCACTGGCTTGTGTGTGCTTATATACCGGGGTGGTTAAGTCCAGCACTCATCTGTGCGCACTTACCTGAGTGCATACATTATATCTGCTTAAGTGGCGTTGCTGTACTTCTGGATGTTGTATGGAAGGGAGCTCAACATACGGATACACGTCCTATTGGTTCATGTTTATGTTTGATTACTGAGCATGTATTGCATGCACTTCTCGTACTGTCGTCCGGGCAATAGGCTCAGTGCGTTTGCGGATTCAGCTGCTGACAATGTATATATACATACACAGCCTCTGCTGGCTCTAAAACTATTGAAACCCAAACTCTAGTCTCTTAACTCCAAGCGTCTCCACACAGTGCCTTGTGGGGGTTGTACAATCCCCTGCTTGCCTTAAAACTCAAAAACTCAGATCCTAATTCTTAATCTCCACTCTCCAAGCGCCTTCTCACAGTACCCCGTCGCGGTCGCGGGATCCTCTGCAGACCCTATAACCCCACAACCCAAACCCAAACCCAAACCCTAATCTCCTAGCGCCTTCTCACAGTGCCCCGTGGGGGTTGTAGGTACAATGCGCATGCGGGCTCAGCTGCTGACAAGGTACACACTCACACCCACGACCGATGAGACAACACATGACATCCATGTGCAAATGACGGTGGTTAACAGCAGACAGCCGCTGGCCGGCAGTGCGGGGTGTGTGTCTGTGCGTTGGATGGTGCTATCAGGAGTACGTGGGATGTGCATATTTATGTTATGTGTTTAGGTTTATGTTATGTTTGTGTTTATGTTTACGGTGTCTGTTTGCCTCTAACGTATATGTTTATATTTATGGTTTATGTTTATGTATATGATACGTGTTTACCTCGGAGGTATATGTTTGTGTTTTTGATATATGTTTACGTTTATGGTATGTGTTTACCTTCTATGTTTATGGTAGATATTTATATTTATGGAATGTGTTTACCCTTTATGTTTATGATATATGTTTACGTTTATGGTATGTGTTTACCTATCAGGTTTATGATATGTGTTAATGTTTATGGTATGTGTTTACCTTTATGTTTATGGGAGATGTTTATTTTTATGGGAGATGTTTATTTTTATGGTATGTGTTTACCTATTAGGTTATGATATGTGTTTACGTTTATGGTGTGTGTTTACCTTTTATGTTTATGGTAGATGTTTATATTGATGGTATGTGTTTACCTTTTATGTTGATGATATATGTTTACGTTTATGATATGTGTTTACCTTTTATGTTTATGATACATTTTTACGTTTATGGTATGTGTTTACCTTTATGTATATGGTAGATGTTTATATTTATTGTGTGTGTTTACCTATTTTGTTTATGATATATTTTTACGTTTATGATATGTGTTTACCTTTTATGTTTATGATATATTTTTACGTTTATGGTATATGTTTATCTTTATGTATATGGTAGATGTTTATATTTATTGTGTGTGTTTACCTATTGTGTTTATGATATATTTTTACGTTTATGGTATGTGTTTACCTTTTTTGTTTATGATATATGTTTACGTTTATGTGGTTACCTTATATGTTTATGATATATGTTTCCAATTACGGCGTAAGTTTTCCTTGAATGTTTATGGTATGTGTTTACCTTTTATGTTTACGGTAGATATTAATATTTATGGCATATGTTTGATCATGATATGTGTTTATCTCTGAGGTATATACTAATTTTTATGCTATATGTTAACTTGTGTCGCATATGTATATGTTGAGAAGTGTGCCCCCTATACGTACACATCTTGTATAAATATGTTTATGTATGTATTAAGGCATATTCATACGTATTCGCGCGTGTTTGTGGAACCAATTTATATGCCAGTTGTCACGGCAACAAAATATGCAACAACACCCATCTCACTTCCTTCCCCTTTAGTCCTCTCCACCATCTCCACACGACTCTCCTACCTACCCATGACAACTCACATACACAAACACATACACATACGCAATACATCCCCAACATATACAACGCTCACAGACACGCCATTATGTGTGACGGAAAGAACGACTATCTGTACGCCCCCTACTTCCGCTGGCCGTCGAAGAACTACCTGGGCAACGACGGTACTGTGCGAACAGGCGGAGGCCCTATCACTGTGGAGGGCTGGGTGTTCCTGATCAAGGACTTCTCGGCTGACAGGTACACGCACGCATGCAAATCGGGTAACTGGGTGTGCTTGATATAATGTGCATGTATAGGCATACGTATGTGTTGTACTCGTATGTGTATAGAGCGGGAGTTCTCACATCCACACATATGCATATGCGCTGGATGCACTAAGGGGTGGCCCGAGCGTGGGCACATACATACACGTGTGGTGTAGTGATGTATGAAGTGTGTATTGCTATGTGTGGTGGGGTTAGTTTGCCGATTTTCGCATTTAAACAACCTATCCGCAACTAGACTTCTGATTGGTGTTCAAGTTTTCGCATTTAAATAACCTGTTTGCTACCAGGCTTCTGATTGGTGTTCCAGTTATCTACATTCCACCCCTTGCATCCACACCCGGCAAGATTTAGTTTTTCGTTTACATATTATTTTACGTTTTCTCGCCATCCGCAGTGCGCTGTGGTCCATCGGCCTTGGCGAGCAGACCAAAGACTGGGTCGACAACTGGAATCCGTACCGTAAAACGGGGCGGTTTTACATGAGCATCCCAGGGCCTTCACGCCAACAAGAGTTTCGCTTTGACGTTGGTAGTCTATCGCGCGCGTCGGGTAGTACTACCGCCATGGGAGGACAATGGCTCCATTTTGCAGCTGTGCATACGCAGGTGCGCACATGGGTGGAGGGGGGTGTCTGTTGTTGTTGAGTGGTTTATGTATCTTGTGTTGTTTATGTACCTGTTTATATGTACATACGCAGGTGCGCACATGGGCTGCCTGGGGGTTCTGTTGTTGTTGTGTCTTATTTATCTTCTTGTGTCGTATATGTACCCGTTTATATGTACATATACACATATAAGACAGCGTCCTGTAGCAGATCCACCCCGAGTTTCACCCGGCCGGGAGCAGGCCGACTCTCTCTCTCTCTCTCTCACAGCACAACACCACACCACACATAACATCACTCCCCCCCAACCCCACCACACGCACTACATGGCAGGTGTCTGGCAACTTCTCGCGCGTTTACATCAACGGAGAGCTCGTTACAGATGCGTACCACGACCACTTGGGCGTAGGCATCCCCACAGCCGGTGAGACCTCATACCACGACAGCACGCGCCGTGTGGAAGGCTTCTCCGTGTGCTCGTGGATGTTCTGGAGTGGCGTGTTTCATACTGGCGCCGTCGATGAGATTAGGATATGGAACTATACCCGCACCCAGGTATGCTGAGTTGGGTTTAGGGTCTAGGGTATTCTCGCATGTGCCGGATTAGGGTGCATGTGGGGGACCAGGAGATAGTTTCTGGTGGCGGGGTTTGCCAATTGCTGGGCCAGGGAGGTACTACTAGGATGATGTCATTCTCACACATGACGGAATAGTATCTGTTTTCAAGCCACACATGGGGTTTGGTGTTACGCTTGCGCGAATGTATTCGTCTGCTGGCCCAAATCTTAGCATGCAATAGTACGTTGTATGCACAGCCACCAAGCAACAAGTTTTAACCCTGACAAGTTATTTGTATCATATATATATGTATATATATATATATACGATTCACACACACATACACACACGCACACACACACACACACACACACACACACACACACACACATTATATATATATATTAGTTTGTATTNTATATATATATAGTGTAT